AATTAGCCGAGCCGACTCCAAATGGCCCGCAAGCAGACAGTCTGTAAGGTCTCGTTTTTTCTTTTCCCAATTCGTTTCAGTTTCGATTGTGGTCTTAAACCAAGTCAATTCCTCTTGCAGTAAGGCCATCTGATTATTCTGCAGCCATGATTCGAGCAGTGATACAGGTGTCTGACCTATGAGGAAACCACGAACACGAAAATATTCCGTCGACTGAGCCATAAGTGCGGTCATTTGATGTGACTGTGTGTCGATTCGCGGAGTGTATACAGGGATACGAGCAGGAAACACAATGCGAAGAAGAAAATGAAGAAGATTCGGATGAGCAATGTGGTTGTGTGTAAAACAAGGACTATCAGTAAAGTCACATCTAATTGATCCAGAAAAATCCGAATGAATGGAATTGTTCCATTCTCGCGAGCATAATTCACCCATTCGCAAGTAGCGTGAGCTGAGTAGGCTGAGATGCTCCAATTGTCGTGCAGTCTCTGTACGAATTCTGCGATGGGGCAATGGGATGAAAGGGATTAAACGGAACTGATAAAAGAGCAGAAAACATTGTCTAAACGGTTATTTCGCTCTATAAAGAAGAAGAATGAAAAATGAACGCTTTAGGATGAAAACAACGGATATATCGAACAATAGCGGTGGTCTCACCTTTTGAGTGAGTGGTTCTCAGGGTATAGCTGCATTATTTTACAACGAACAGTACCTCAGAATGTTGGTTAAACACTTCTACTGATTTCATTCACTTAGTCGAAAATTTCGGGGTTCCTGCAATTTCTATGCCTAATTTTAACTTGTGGCTTTGTGAGTTAACCGAACTACCATAATCGTGCAGTATCTAGTAAGCAAAGAGCGCTTAGCAGAGGATACAAAAAGCTGCAGACAATTCAAATAAGCAAAACAGGATTTTTCACATTTTATATGGTAGATTGAAGTCTTATGTTGAAACTGTGAGGCGACACCGATGGCACTGATTTTTAAAATGTGAATCACCCATCCAACATAAGACTTTAAGTTGGGAAACAGCAATCTGAACAATTAACCTTGGATGCTCATTCGATGGATTAAGGTGAATTCTAGGAAAACCTGTCGTGATAGTCAGCTTAGATGCTACGTGGTGGATGTCATATACCCCTGTAATTTGTATGGATGATTCGAATAAGAAAAGATCAACGGTATCGGTGGGGCTTCGTAGCTTAGTTGGTAGAGAGTGCACTGTGCGAACTTCGTGGGCGGCGTCCATGCGTGGGTTTGAATCCCATCGAGGCTACTGAACTGTTCACAATTTAAACAGAACAGAATTCCTCAATATCGCGTAGATTTCATTTGGCACAGTTCAGAAGTTTGCACTAAGCTGAAAAACTATTCTACCTAACCCGCCGACATGCTATAGATCTATCTCGGAGACAGTCAACCAGAATGTAATTTGGCTCAACGACCATCCTTTAAAATCCAAAAATGATGTAGGAACCATTTCACAAGGCGAGTACACATGGAGTTTATTCGGTGAATTTTCACCCATTCAGGTCCATCGATTATGGGTCAAGCAACATGGGTCGGCAAACCTTTTCGTGGAACAAATAACCAATCACTACTTTATATTGCACTGTACTGAAGCTTTGGCGAGTTATATACAAGCTTTCAACCATTATAATCGCCGCAAACGTCCGTTATGTTGTACCTCTGCAAGATAAGTACTAGGGAACTGAGCGCACGACAAAAAATTGCGAAAATATAGAGCCTTATTGTGAATTCTGGATGCAATCACCAAATTAGACGCCAGATATATCTTAATTTCGGTTGGGTCAAGTGGCACTTCTAAGGTACCACATTTTCTTCACAATTCGATCAATTCATTGAATAGTCACAAATTTGGTACCTTGACTGGATGTTGAATACGTTCTACCTTAAATTTACCAGATGACCATTTGTTGTGAGCACCTTGCAACCACACTCTCCACGCCACTGTCCTGTGTTCCCTGTATGATTCCCGTATTATCCGTGTTTCGTCAAGTTCAGCCCCCATTGATCCGAGCCCGTGACTGTTCTACACACCGTTTGTACGGACGCACGCATCATTAGCACGTTTGTTCCACCACACTGCCCTCTATATTCTCATTTGTCCCATCGATCCGTGCCCACAACTGATTGGCCATGACACCTGTCCATACACACACACGCACACACACACACATCGACCCATGAACATCCACGCAGGCTTAACGCGCTGTCGTTGCACTACGTTCCCTAATGGCTCGGGTCACAATCAACGAATTTTGATTGATTCCTCTTAGTTCACTTCCCAGCACTGACTACCATAGATGCACGGATTTCTTGTTCGACAACTTTGGGTTAATTCGTTCCATTGTCACCGTACTGTACACCTGCTTGCTCGCAGTCCCTACTTGTTGAACTACCGGCTTCACAGATCCCGGACAGAGCCAGAGTTTGAGACTTGCATATTTATCACCATTGCAATCAGTATTTCAGCATCGTTTTGTCGAAGAAACCTATTTGTTGAAAGACACCGTCTTTTTTTCATGCGTCACTCTACGTGGATCGTTGTTGTCTGTGTAAAACAACAATAGGGGCTTCACAAAGTACCTTCAACTTCGGAACACCAGAACTGTTGAGTCCACAAAGGGAACGTGAATGTTACAATACCTGACAACGAAAGAAAACATCACCGGAATAACACAAACCAGATTAATGCAACCCTTCCGGGTGCTCCAGAGTAGATGGTAATGTCACGGGGAACTGTGTAATAGAGATATCACCTATTCAGAGTTAGCTCTTACAAGATAAGACACTTGTTGAAAATTGTTAAATGTGATGCAAAACGTCGCACGCGTGTTCTTATTAGAACAAACAGGGCGAAGTAATTTCATCCACTACAGCAGTAAAACCAAATCTAAGTACTGAAAAACAGATGATTATAGCCCACTGGATTCAAAGAAATATGATAAGCTACCTCTGAATTAACATTCATCTTCAGCAGAAGACTGAAATTAGTTTTCATCAATACGCTCGGAACAGACCACAGTCAAATATGTGGGTATTTTAAACCCTTCGTTACACGTGTCAGATAACATATCCGAAAGCAGATCAGCATATCCTCAAGCTCCCTGAAAATTCCGCTTGCAGATAATCCAAGTTGATTGAATTAACTTTTTCCCAAGAACCAAAATCGATATTGCAGTTTTGCGTGATCTATATCAGCGAATGCTTCGCTGCGTGTCAACCTGCACTTTCCAGCAAAAAGCATCTTTAAAGAGAACCAAAATCATATATAGAGGAGGTATGCATAAATAAAATGGAAACCGTTTGAACAAACCTGAATCCTTACTACGAGATTCTCATTCTAGTACCTATACAACCAACCAGAGAGACAAGTGAGAGTGAGGCTAAAGCAACCACTACGACGTCCTCAAAACTTGCTCTAAAATCTCAATTTCCACATTATTTTAGTCTACCACACCAAATTAGGTTACGTTTGATTTCCTTAACAACCCCAATCCGTTTGATAGGTCATGTTCGCTTACGAACCGCTTCTACCTTAGTTTTTAACGCGAAAACCGAATGTCACTACTTTGTAGACGTACGAGAAACCGTCACAATAAACGAAAACAAAAGTAGACCAGACAATACAGTACATACACCTACTAGTTCAGCTTTATATGCACGTCCAAAGTGATGTGGTTCATGTAAACCTATGCAACGTGTGCCAAAATACAACATCAGTTTGCACCGAATACATCGTGGACACGTTCAACAAATCACAATCATGCGATCGTTCGACATGGGGTCGTTGTAAGGTCAGTGAACAGACCAGTGGCTTGTGACTATCGGGAAGGAAGGCTCATAGTCGCTCTTCATCCTTATGGGTCAATCAAATAATCAGACTGTTTTTGATGACACAGGGAGATGAGGGGTCAGTGCTCATCATCCGATCTATATCAAGTGCTCATGTTATACCATTTACTGAGGCAGAAATACCGATTAGAATCACATTGGATATGATACCCGACTTAACTGTGGCCTTCACCAGACCGTACAAATTGGAATCATGCTGGTAAAATGTACTAACAGATTGAGAACCAGATGAAATGCAGTTTTTTAACCTGGCGTTACCCTTTCAGAGAACAAATAACTACTACATCGACTATTGATTAAATGAAACCATTCGAACAGCTTCCTGGTGGTCGAGTGGATAGTGCATTTCCCTTCAACTTGTGAGGTTCCGGGTTCGTTTCGCAAATGCGTTCACACCCAATCAGGTCAAAACAGTTCTACAGTGCTCGTTCGCTTTTCAGCTCACGTCTCCTTTGCTGTGTTCACGGGGGAAATATTTGGAACTCCGAAAATTGTAGCATTTAGAGATGACGTTCATTTTAACAAAAGTCGTATATTTACTCACCGAATGGACGGGGAATAAGTGAGTAGACGAAGTAGTTTATCCGCTAATCGATCCAGAGAAAGGAAACTGTCCAGCAGTTGGTTGGGATACGCGAGAACACATTGGATCAGCAAATGGATACTCTGTACAGCAATCTATTTAAAGAAAAGCACCAATGAAGTGGTGGAATATATAACGATTAACAGGGGTTAGATATAAGGCACGTTGCACGAACTGAAAATTCATCATATTGGGTGCATAAAGCTTAACTTGACTTGACGTCTCCCAGATAATAACAAAAAATTTCAAAAAAGAAAGAAGTCTCAGTTGAAATTTATTTAACTAAGAACTGGTATAGATAAAAGCATAAACCCAATCAACCAATCGACCCAATCAGCCAAGTAGTTGCGCTATCCCTCTCCATGGATGAATATTTGTATGCCAACGGATCATTCTTGATGAACAATATCCCCAAATTATGGCAAAAGGTATTAAGCGGCATGGGATCATCGAAGTGTGATAAAAAATAGTAAACAACTGTGACTTGAAATGAGCACATTAGGCGACCCGCATTTCTCCCCGTGCTAGAGGGAATTCAACTTCGAATTGATGTTTTCTGTCTGATCATCAACCATTATGGTGAAAGAATGCAGAAACTGGAAGCAACGCAATGGAATGGCAATTTACAGACTAATGCGCTTGGTTTTCCGCCTTATATGCCAATAGTCTGGCAGGACAAAAATACTGGGCCTCCGAATCAGTGAGAGTGCAAAATAGAGGAAAATTTATATACTTATGATGGAGGTAGAACATTACTTCTGGGCAAGAGAGATGATAATCTAAACCGATTGGCTATCGCCACCAAACGGAACCCTAAGAAATGTCAAATGACACTAAAATCGGGATGTTATAATGCTTTATGAGAAGCGGTCATGTATATGTTGCGAACTGATAATTATGACCGAAAACTGCCAAGCGATTCACGTTCAATGCGCGTGAGCAACATCTGTGTAAAAGACCAGTATATTACAATTGTGGAACACTCTTCCCATCTCTGTGTTTCTAAGTGCTTATAATACTACTCTTTTCAAAAGCAAGATTAACAAATTGGTTCTCGTTCAAATATTACTCCACAGTGTGTTATTGACTATGAGGGCTAGATATGGTTTGTTTATGGAGGTGTTTCACTCAAGCAGTCGACGTAGAACCATTTAAATGCATTGGAAGAATTATACAGGTGTTTTATCTTTGTCAAGAATCATCAGCATTGCGCATCCGCTAGGAATTGTTAATTCAACGCGATAACCATGGCTTCCAAATGATGAGCAATGCTTGATGAATAAATACACCTCCTAAAAAAAATAAACCGTTTCCTATAAACAAGCACATTCTCGGCAGGTGCATATTTCCAGCTCAGTCGTGTTGAGGCCCTGAAGGGGAGCCGTTAGTCGGNGGTTAACAAGTCGGATTCACACATAATACATCACGTACCTGGATTCGAATCCAAGTGGAATTCAGTGTATATGCACCGCTGATGATCATGATTCCTAATAAGGATGAAGTGGTTGTGCACTACGAATCCAGGGCATTAGAGTGATGAGTATCACTTTGGCTATGACTGACAAACACACCAACAATTTCGTTATGAATGAGCATCCTTTGGGTACTATAGCAATCAGTATGAGAATTGAGCAAACGTGGAAATGCCTCCACATATCCACTTGGCTGCTCTATCTACGTATTTTTTCTCCAGATTCATATTGTTCAATGTCATTATTTATGTCATAGTGATGATACGATAAATTATTTCTTGTCATTTTGCGCCGCCTGAGTAAACATCTTCAGCAACACATTTCGACACCTAATATCGAACTCCACATTCTTTTTTCTTCTTCATTTTTACTTCCTTTCATTGAATACATAATGATACAAATTTCAGGAAGGGAAAGCGGCCCATCAAAAGGCTGCCATACTCAATGACGAAAGTCAAGCGGTGTTGGTGGGATTCGAACACCAGCCTCTAGGGTGATAACGTAGCGACGTTATCACCGGGCCACCACCACTCGGTCAAGACCTGAAGGTGAAAATGTCACCGATTTAAGATGGTTGCATCAGGAAAGACAGGACTTTAGATCTTTGTCAACGTGCAACAAATTGAGGCAGCTTGATAACTGAACATTTACTGCATAGACTGAATTCTTCCAATTATATCATGAATAATACATTTTTAACACGCTCATGAAAACATCATGAAAACGAGGATAAAAAACACAGGTGCATCAATAGTAATAGATAATACGGTCAGAATGATTAGACCTTAGCGAATTACTTACTGTNGAGGGAAATACACCGTGAGTAATCCTAATGAAAAAAAACTATGATTTTCTAGCGAAATACGTTGCGTCAGCTGGGGAATCGACGCCTATGGTAAATACAATTATTGTTGCTATAATTCCACAAGGCGGTTCCGGGAAGAGGATAGTTGTTTATTACGAATAATTGTAAAGGACTCGGTAAATTAGAATACATAAAACAAAATTTCTTATTTCGAACAAGTCTTCAGGATTCCCACTAGGAGACAAGATGATTATTAATGGAACGATCCAATGGTGGATGCGCATTTCCCGTAGTAGTAGTAGTACGTGCATACTCATACAACCAAAATTGTGCACACAAGGACAAGTAAACACAGTTGAATTATGCTTGAATTGGATGTTAGAGTCACCACTTAAAATCCTAGCTTTACGAAAGCTCGATCAATACAGTCAGTGCGACGTCCTATGCACGAGTGCATGTAAGCACTGTGACAGAACGACCGTACACAACTTGACAAAGCACATCGGTGCTAATTTTTGGTCAAACGAAGAGTACCGCAGTTGGAAGGGCACAGACAACATCAGTGAAGCTCAACACACACATGCACACACGATACACGACCACTTCTATCGCCATGGGTTCCAAACAGGCAAGCTGCATTGGGAGAGGGGTCAAGGAATGAGATTTGATAAACATGGTTTCATGACACATCTAGTTGTGATTCGAAGACAGTAACACAGACAAAGAATCCTGCGAAACTACAGTAATTTTAACGAAATCTATTAAAAACAAACTTGAATGATCCTTGATTTTACAGTCACGGATGAATCGATCTAACTATAGTAGGTGAAGCATGCATAATCACCCCTACAAGTATTGGCATTATGTCAAATAATACATGCGACTGAAAGAAGAAGGTTCATTTTCTTTTTTGGAGACTTTGTCAGCAACACTCAGTGTGAGAATTTTTTTGATTCCGAAACAGGACGGGAAGAAAACTTTACACATATACCTAAACGGTTCAGGTGCGATGAAAACATTCATTAGAACTATATAAAAAAATCACTAAGAAAACTGGGCTTGCACCGAGTGACAAAACCGTTAGACTGAAATGAAAAAATAGAACCAACATAGAAGTAAAGTTTTACAACCACTTCGGCCCCGGAAATTTGCTGGACGATATCCCGGGAGATATCATGGCTATCGATATCACGGTGTACCCAACCTGCCTGGAACAAACCATGAAACGATTTCTTTAAAATAACCAAGAAAGTCAATATCTATATGGGGGTAGAAATCAAGATAAGTTGGAAAAGAAATAATCAACACTCCAGTTCCATGACCGGATGTTGCTCACACTTTGGTCCTCAGACATCGCACTGGTTCGGGTCATTAGGGATGGGTGGTGGGTGTCTGTGTCGTGTGTGGTGCTGGGCATGAAAGACCGAGTGTTCTTACGAATTATTTGGGTGCATTGGGGGGGGGGTATGTAGGTGGATTCCGATCCCTCCCGCTGTGGCCAGAATGCGACTCCTAATCGACGGGTGCGAACCGAGTAGAGGAATCGAAACGCCTCAGCCACATTAACCATGTGGTTTGATTACACCAGGTGTGAAACGATTGACCTGTTCATAGTCTTAATTACTCCACTATTCAAACAGGCCGGGTGGTACTCACAAACTAGTTCAGATAAACGTCTGCTCCCGAACAGGACGAAACAGCTGTCCATTGCTCTTTGTCGGCTATCACAAACATTTCCATCACGAAGTAAAAAGACATTTAAAATTATTTTTAAATGTAATACACGATGGAGTAAGCCAACAAACGCCAGCTTACCTCCACATCCTGATACAGTAAAATATGCCCACTGGGTGCAATAACCTCAATCAGGCTAGCCACACCAGCTCGACTGTCTTTGTTCGGTTGATAGATTGGATTCAGACCAGATTGTTTGGGTAAAACATGTACACCCAATCCGCTCTGGCGGTGTGGAAATTGCTCGGAAACGCTGGCACTGGCCACTGCCGTGTCCAACAATGCAGATAGTAACTCTGAACCAAACTTCGGGGTGAGGTATTTTTGTATTAAGACTCCATTGTAAGAGGAATCTGCACAGGAAACCAGACTGGGTCGAAAAGAAGCTGGAAAAGGGAATAGAGTAGAGCAGCATACAGGAAGAATACTTAGTGAGGATCCTTCATAAAATCTTGAATCCCTTAACAGAAACGATCCTTCTTCAGTAGATGAAGATGAAAAACAGAAATGCTGTTTGCTCGTGACGATGAAAGTTACTCGGCGACCTAAGCTGATTTGTGGCAAGCCTGAATTGTGACAGAAATACTCTTGTTTTCCTAATTAAATACAGTAAAAAGCTAACACAACGGATAATATCAAATCACCGATACATATATAGATACCACTTGTAAAATATTCTATGAAAAACACTGACGTCATACTTGCGGTGGTTAGTAGCAAGAAACCCACCTGAGAAATACCTAATGATAGGATTAATTCATAAATGGACGGGTTCTGATACAGCTAGCCAAACAAATTTACCCAGTGTTGCAAATCAGTTATTTTTGATTATATATATATATNTAGAGTAAGAGGTTGCATCGAACTTCTTCATTCTTATCCTTCAACTCAAGTCTGTAGGATATATATATATATATATATATATATATATATATCCTACAGACTTGAGTTGAAGGATAAGAATGAAGAAGTTCGATGCAACCTCTTACTCTAGCTCAGACAACTGAGTAGTACGACTACCCGTAACACTGACCATATTATCGAGACGAATTGGAACTATATTTGACCTTTTGAATGATTCAATTAAAAAAAATCGTATGACGTTCGCCACTGAAATCCATTAATTTGATAATCGTTCTTCTAATCGGAGGTTCATGTAAAAATCGTTTGTGGACTGAAGTCGCACCTGGTC